GGAGGGGTATTTTTCGAGATATGAGGGGTCAAAGTTCAAATTCAGCATATTTAGGTCAAAAGTGCATTATTTTACAAAAATAATGTTTTCAATGTAATTTAGGTCATAGATTCGAGAAAGAATGACAGTTGGACAGGTATGGGGTTCGTTCAAAAGTTATGGGTCAAAGTTCAAATAGAATATAATCTGGGAAGTGGTATTACAGGTGTGTGTGATAAATGTACAGAAGAAACATATTTGACATATTTTTTGGGCTTAGAATCTAAATTTGGTTGTTAATCGGGCCAGGGAGATGATTTTAATATAGGAAAGGTCAAAGTATAAGAAGGGGTTACAAATATTCCTACCTATACCAAAATAATGTTTTACATTTGCACCACACATGCGTCAACATTTTCTTAATTATTAGTGAGAAGGGATAAAACATTATAATAATTTACTTGGTTTGTTTTAAAGACTGTTGTTTATCCGTATTTTAGTTTAAGTATTTAGTGTAAGTTGCATAATTTTCTTTCTGCTTTCCTTTGTTTATAATCATTTTATAATTATCTGGGGTGCACCATCAAAAGGATCAGTGCCGCTGACCTGAAAGTAAACCCATGAATAAATCGTATCCTATCGTACTGGCGCATTTTCCAATTTGGGCGTAGAATCCGAATTTGATTGTTGATTGGTCCAGGGAGGGGTATTTTTCGAGATATGAGGGGTCAAAGGATAAATTCGCCATATTTAAGAAAGGGGTCCTAAATGTGCAATAGTTTACGAAAATAATGTTTTCAATGTAATTTAGGTCATATATTCGAGAAAAAATGACAGTTGGACAGGTGTAGGGTTCGTTCAAAAGTTATTGGGGTTAAACTTCAAATAAAATATATTAGTAGGCCTAGCTAGGCTTGGCCCTAGGCCTATCCTATATATTAATATCATTGTCTTTTCTATTACTAAATTAGATATGAAGCAGTGTGTGTGGCAGGGGGAGGGGATAATTTTCTTGTCCTCCCAGTTTAGGCTGCATACAGCCTAGGCAAGGCCTAGGCTAGCTAGACTAGATCTAGATTCCTCCTAGTCTAGGAGGGTAGGCAGGCTAAATAATATCATAGGCTAGGAGGGTCTAATGGATGCACATTAAATATTTGCAGGCTTCCCAATTTATAAAAATAAAATAATGTAAAGGCCCTAAATAAATAAATAAATAAAAGTAATACAAATTCGGTAGGCCTGGGGCCTAGGTAGTAGTAGGCCTAG